CGTGAGCTGGTGCATCGCCAGCAACATCAACTACTGACGTGTTTGAGCGGGACATTTACGGGTTCACAGTGTCATTGGAGTATTATCGAGAAAGAAGCTTACCCCATAGTCTGTGCATGCGATAAATTGAGTTATTTACTGCTACGGCCTAGCGGGTTTAAGCTGTTCTGCGATCATAGAAACCTTATCTATGTGTTTGCGCCTAGCGTGGAGGTGAAGAAGCACATCCGCGGCAAACTTTTAAGGTGGGCGACGAAAATTGCAGAGTATCGATATGAAATTGAGAACATCGATGGGGAACTGAACGTATGGAGTGACATGGTCTATCGTTGGGCTCGTAACCACGTGCAAGAAGCGCACTTACGCCGGGTGATACTTCGAGATCGACCTCAAACCTCTTCCTCTCACACTGCACCACCCAAGAAAAGAACTCGGCGGCGGCGAAAGCGCCGCGGGCAAGAACACGTACCTACGCCTACGATACTACCACGATCTATTAGACCATTGCGCGACCCGGATTTCGTGTGGCCGACCAGAGCTGCCATACTTGACTCCCAAGTCAAGTATAAGACAAGTCGACCTGAAGGAGCTATTGGTAGTGATACTGAAGGGTGGTATATGAAAGACAAGTTGTGGGTACCCGATGGTGATGAGAACCTAGTACAACGCATAATTGTCGTAGCTCATTGCGGGCCTCAAGGACACCGGGGACGTGACGCTACACTGGAATCGATACGGAGGTTTGTCTACCTGGCCCGCCTTAGAGCGCGGGTGGATAAATTTCTATCGAATTGCCCTTTGTGTCATCACGTCAAAGGTGGCAAGAAAATTCAAAGACCATGGGGTGAAACATATTGGACAAACGAACGGAATGGTGCACTTCATTGGGACTTTTTGTCATTTGGAGAAAGTTTTGCTGGTGATAGTTATCTACTGGTACTTAGAGATGAAGCGACACATTTCTCCGAGCTGACACCATGGTTAACTCCGACTAGCACTGTGGCTGTAGAAGATATCCTTGCATGGCACAATCGGTTTGGCATACCGCCATTGTGGATAAGCGACCAGGGGTCGCATTTCAAAAATGCAGTGGTGGCAGAAGTGTGTAGG